ACTAGCATTTGTATAGGGCTGTAAAATTCATAAAATATTTCACAAATATTATCTTTTTTTTGTTATCACAACAACCCGGGAAGGTAGGTACTATTATTATTCCTATTTTACAGATGAAGAAACTGAGGCAAGCAGTGGTCAAATAACTTACACAGGGTCACACAGCTAGCAAGTATCTGAAGTCACATTTGAACTTAGGTCTTCCTGACTCGAGGTCCAGAGATCTATTCACTATACCACCTACCTGCCTTTTAATTACTGCTCATTAGCAGTAACATAACCAGAATGTTAGTTATACTGGTTTATGGAATGAACAGTTAAGATGGGTTGGGGAACCTGAGGCCTCGAGGCCATGTGTGGCCTTCTAGGTCCTCAAGTGCAGCTCTGACTGAATCCAAACTTCACAGAACAAATCCCCTTAATAAAAAGATTTGTTTTGTAAAACTTGGACTCAATAAAAAGGCCACACCCAAGGACCTAGAAGGCTACTTGGGGCAGGTTCCCCAGCCCTTAGTTAAGATGTTATCGCTAAATGAATAATAGTAACTTACATGAATACACCATTTGTAGATATAGAGTGATACAACAGTACTATGTCAAATTGACAGCGTTTACTATTAGGACCTTCTATTTGCCAGGCGCTGTCCAGAGCACTTTCTAACCATAGCATTAGACATGATACAAAAATATATTTATTAAGCACAAAAAAGCATTTATTAAGACTGTGTGTTACTATGTAGCTGGTTCTGTGCTGGGTGCTGGTGATACAAAGGAAAAAAAAAAAACAATTCAATTCCTGTCTTCAAAGGGAGAGAACAAACAGTGAAATGGAGGCCAGGTAAGGGTGTTTTAATCTGATGTGTCATGGGGATGGTGAGTTGATGTCAAGTCAAGTCAACGTGCATTTATTAAGCACCTACAACGTACTAGACACTGTACTGGTACTAGGTACAAGGAAATATAAAGAGAGGCAAAAAAAAAAGCCCCACAAAAAACCTCATTCCAGCTCTCAAGGCAGGCTAATAGTGGAGATGACATACGAACATTTACATACAAACAAAATGTTTATATCTATGTGTATATATATGTGTGTGCGTATGTGTGTATATATATACATACATATATACATATACATACATACATATATAAATTTAAGCTGGAGCTGACCTCTCAGGGAAGGAACTAAGATTAAGGATGACCAGGAAAGGTTTCTTTGTAAAAAGTGAGACTTTAGCTGAGACTTGAAGGAATCCAAGGAAGTCAGGAGGCAGAGATGAGGGAGAACATTCTGGACAGTCTTGGCCTGCTCTTTTCAGAAGTTATTTTAGTATTGACTTATTTACTGTTCAGAGTCAGAGATAGAAAGTTGGGCAAAGGGAATATATGATGGTAGGATAGACAAGATGGCACCACTAGACCAGATGCAAAATATGGTCTGGATTAGGACTTTATAAATATAGTGGCTAGGTGAATATACGTTTGCACATCTATGAAGATAGCTCAGCAACAGGGAAAGAATCCCAAGACTACATGGGTTGACTGCCCCAGGGACTTGGATCATGATTTCTGGAGGTCCAGTCTATTTCAAGAGGGGAAAAGTAGGGCAATGGCAGGAAAATTGCAAAAATGTAAAGGATAGAATGGGTTTGGGTCTAGCTAAATACAGTAGGCTGGGTAATTTTGCGCTCACTTGCCAATCAAGAGAGCTCATCAGCATATCACTGATTGTTTTTGTTAAGAGGCAGCATGGTGCAAATTCCAGTGATGCATCAAATCCTGCTTCTGCTTTACTTTGTGACTGTAGGAAGTGATTGATCCTCTCAGTGCCTCAGGAGGCCTCCTAGGACTTTCCTACTGGCATGTACACTGTTCCCTATGCAGGACATTCCATCTCTTGGGCAATATCCATTAACTTGGATGCCCTCCTTCCTCACTAATGTCTCAGAGATTCTTTCTTCAGCTCAGTCCTGATTTTCACCTCCCCAATTGCAAGTGCCCTCCCTCCAGAAATGACTGTGTAACTGCTTTGCATACATTTATGAAGTAATCCCTTTCACACAATTCCCCCTTCCAAATGAATGTAAGCTCCTTGAAGGCAGGCACAATTTGATTTTTTTTAAACTTTTTTGTTCTACCACCTAGTACTGCACAGTGCCTGGCACCTAGTAGGTACATAATAAATGCTAGTTGACTTAATTAATCAGCTCTGTATAAGAGAGTTGACATGTGTGTTGATGGAGTGAGTTTCCCATGCTGATGAAATCATAAATGTCTTGCTACTGTTAAAAATTATTCAGTGATAATATATGGTTCATCGTATTGATCAGTGTACTTGCAACTGTGTGAATGCTAATGGTATTGACCCTATTTTACAGATTGTGAGATCAGAGATTTAAAGCTTGAAGGGACCTTAGACACCATTTCCAATTTATGATTTTTGCCTTTGTATCACCAATATGTGACATAGAGGAGGTGCCTAATAAATACATGTGGATTAGGTGATCTGAGATGAGTCAGCGGACATCAGGAGAGATTAATGAGCAAAGTCATGTCTCTAGTAAATGGAGAACCAGAATTCAAACAGAGGAGATCTGACAACAAAACTAGCACTCTTTCCTCTGTATCAGGGAGTCTCTTTCAAACTAGATTACTTTTTTTTTTTTTTTTTTTTTTTGGTGAGGTGGCACAGTAGATAGACTGTGAGTTCTGGGACTGAAGTCAGGAAGAACTGAATTCAAATATGACCAAAGACACTAATTAGTTATGTGATACTGAGAAAGTCACTTAACCTCTGTTTGCCTCAGTTTCTTCAATTGTAAAATAGGGACAATAATAGCACCAACTTCCTAGAATTGTTAGGATCAAATGAGATAATAATTGTAATATACTTAGTACATAGGCTTGGCATATATTAGGTGGATAATAAATACATGCTTCCTTCTTTCATGAATCAGAATATACATGCAAATATATGTAGGATATACTCTAATATATTTAGAATTTGAAATTCAGGGTAGAGGCTAGAGAGCAAAGGAGTGAGAAATGAATAAGTACAGGGGACCTCTTTGGGAAGGATGAAATAAATGAAAAAAGTGAAAATACTAGAGTAGGAAAGATTACTAAGGAGATAAATGCTTACATTGAGAAAAATGTGCAGCATGTAGAATTTGATTTGAACTTAAATGGCATGTTCAAATATAGTTTCTTTGCTTATAATAAAGGTAGAAATAGAGGGAATCCCAGGGCTTAGGCTGAGTGATTTTGATGTCATTCAGTTCATTTTCATGGTCTCAATGCATGATGGGAAATGACAGAACAAAGAGGCAAGCATCTTTGAACATCAGAGTCAATCTATTCACAGGAGGTGTAATACGCGGGCAAGTCAAGCTGACTGACATTTTCATAGAGAAGATTAAGAGGCAAATGTGATTATCTTCCCAAATACCAAACCATCTTTGTCATAATGGTTGAAAACATGGCGCTATAGTGAACATTTTGGATCTGACCCTTCATAGATCAGTAATCTTTGGCCTATAATCTAGAAGCAACAAATTAGCAAGCATTTATTAAATGCCTACTATATATGTGGCAGGCTCTGTGTTATGTGCTGGAGCTAGGATTAGGATAAAATACATTTTTTTACTCACAAAAGTCAACACCCTTTCAGATACATGTGGCTTGAGACCTAAAGAACCTTGACAGAGAACAGGGAATGGAGATGTTAAAAATTATATATCATGACATCCCTAGGTGATGATTGGGTTACGTTCCAGATGTTCTTTGGGAAGTGCATTTGAAACTCTGAAGGCCATTTCCTCTAGAAACAATATTATGAGTACTAGTTAAATTAGTAGGACCAGTTCCCTCCATTTTTTTTTTTTTTTACACATACCATACTTGGAATAAGGTCAGAGCCGAAACTACCCTGGGGCAAATCGGAATTTGTTCTATGACACTGACATCAAGGGAGGTGTTTCCTCCCAGGGCTAAACCAGACTTCCTTCCTTCAGTGATTATGCTTTTTTATCCCTCTCTCCTCGGTGATTGCATTGGCTCACATCTCTGTGGCAATCCCATCTCTGTGTTGTCCGTCCCTTGCAGTCTACTTTCTTATCCCCCAAATAATCTAAGTGACATGGGACCTCTCCTCCCTTCAACTCATGTATATAGCACTAATGATTGAACTCTATTATCTGGATTGAAACCTCCACCTAACTGCATTTGCCCCAGGTTGACATATTCCTCATTAAGACTCTATCTATCTATCTAATCAATATATATATATATATATATATACATGTATATATATAGTAACATATATACATATATACACACACATATAAATAATCAATTAAGCCTAGCCAGTATTGGAGACCAATATACCCTTGGTTCTATGGAAAAAAAAATTCAAATTCAACTGGGAGGGAGAGGGTAGTACAAGAACCTACATTATCCCATTTGTGACATTGACTGAGGGGAGGGAGTAAGGGGAAGCCACTGTTAGAGTTCTGGCAACTTTTAATCTCACCATTTTACTTCATTTAAGAAAAGACACCTCTCTACACTTGCATATGACTTACATCATAGCTATTAACTTATACAGTTATTAACACCACATTAATTACTCCTGGGGTGGTTTTGTTTATTTTAAGTTAATGTTGGTTTTTCTTAACTACTTTTCTTTTTTTCTTTTTTATTCTTTGTTGCAAGAGATGGCTATCTGGACCAAGAAATAGAGAGGAGAGATGCCTTTGAACGAAAGATATAAAAAAAACACCCCTCTAATGCCTTGGAGCAAGCCAGTGAATCTCCATGGATCTCAGTTGCCTAATCTATAAAATTAACGGGTGGATTAGATATATGGTCATTAAGATCTCTTTTAGTTTTAAATCTCTAGTCTTATAAATAAAAATTTAAAATAAAAAAATTGTTAGAATGAGATTGGGGACAGAAGGGAGTCGTTTTAAGAAATAACATAATTTTTTTCCTGCAATCCACAGGGGAAAGAAATACTATGGACAAGTAATGCTTCAACCGTGGATGTGTGGATGAAAACAGAAGTGTCTGTACCTGAGACCATGACAAACTTTAAGGTACTAATGGGGAAATTATCAATATTTATCTATTTTGTAAAAGTTTTATATGCATTTTTGATTTGACAGCATGTAATCCATTTTCTCATATGAGCCTCAAAATTGAGAGTGTACTCCTAAAGTTACCTTGATGCTTCTGGCACCACTTAGGCCAACATGGCATGAGTAGAACACCTATAAAGTTGACCAGGCCCAATGGATGGAAATCTGGAATAACTGGGATCTAATCTCACCTCTGTCTGACATTAGATTTGTGACCCTGGGCAGATCAATTAACCTCTTTATGTCTGAGATTCGTTATATCTGCTGACAAAATTGCAGTTCCTTATTAGGGTAGAGGAATCATAACATGTCCTGGTGCTACTCCCATGGTTCTCATTTTCCCTGCCTTCAATCAGAGCCTTCAGTTGCTTTTCCATAGAGCTATATTGAACATTCAGGCAGGCAGAGAGATAACTTGTTATTTTGTCTTTACCTGTGTATTAGCTATGACAATGCCACGTATGTAGTCATTTATATTTCTGTGTGTCTATGGCCAGCTACGTAAATCTAGAACATAGTTGAATTGCTGCTACTTTTAAAGAATTGGTGGGAAGCTACTGAATTTTATATTCAACAGGGATTGAGATTATTAATAAGGCTGCTTTATAATGGGGAAGCTTTTCTGTTTGCATTTACTCTATCTGGAGTGAATTAAAACAGGAACAGGTATGGGTTATGTCTACTTATACAGCGATATAATTATAAAGTCATGGGGATGATTTTTGCTTTTGGCTGATCCTACCAGTCTTGTTGCTTTGTTTGCTAGACTTGGAGCTCTGAATTCCCAAATATGAAGCAAAAAAGGAGAAACAAGGAGATAGGTAGAGAAGACGTTTTCCTCTTTGCATTCCACATGATACATAGGCTATCTTTCCTGAACTATATCATTTTTATGGCAAACCCAGAAAAGTTCAGTTTTTCTTTAGCCTGTTATACTCACCTTTCCACACACATACATTCTTATTTTTGTTTCCTGCTGACATCTAGTTTTTAACCCCCAAAGGCACCACTGTCACATTGATTTTGGAATACTATTTACTGTATGTGACCAAGGGATAAAATTTGAATGAAGTTTCAGATTTAGATTTAAAGCTAAAAACAGAGATAAATAGATATTGTTGCTGTGATCATCGAATACTCAGCACAATGCCTAGTGCATGATAAGAACTTAATTAATGCTGGCTGCCTTGACTTGTTAGTAGTGTTGTTGTTTTTAAGCACATTGGAAGACATTTTTGGTTTCCAAACTCTCATCATGGTTAGCTCCATTTAGCACCCAACTAATGAAGAAACAGGATGATTTCTACGATCTAAATGAGACATCACATCAAGTTTTAAAATCTAGTTTTTTTTCACCAAATATTTGATTGCTTTTTTTCTGCGATAGCCCAAAGTTCCAGTAGAAATTTTATATAATTATCAAGGGACAAGATTTTAAGTTAAATTCTATTTTTCGAAGGATTTATTCCAAAATACCAGTGTTTTGGTTGACTAAGGCATAGCGAACAGAGCGATGGTCTTAGAGTCAGGATGGCCAGGATGCTTATTGCCTGTGTGGTCACAGGGAAAAATAAGTAATCTCCTCAAGCCTGTTTCATCACCTCTAAAATGAGGGATAATAATGCCAGTTGTAGCTGTCTCACAGAGTTGTTTGCAGCACCTTAAGTGAGCTAGTCTATATAACATGCTAGGCAAACCTTGAAGTGTTAAATGACTATCAAGTGTTACTAATTTTGTTTTTGTAGATGTTATTTAGGGTTTATATTCCTTTCTAGGCTTAAGTGTCCTCACCAATACTTCATTTTAGGTAGTGTATATATATTGTATATATCTCTATGTATAATCTGTATATTTATATGCACAAATCTCTATTTTTTTACTATCTCTCTCTCTCTGTATATGTGTGCATGTTTATATGTATCTGTTTCGATAAAAATAGATTACATTGATGCCTGCGATAACTCTCTGTGGAAGGTACTATTATACTCATTCTTTCTCTCTCTCTCTCTCTCTCTCTCTTTCTCTGTTTCTTTCTCTCTGTTATTTATTATTATTATTATTTTTTTTTGCGGGGCAGTTGGGGTTAAGTGACTTGCCCAGGGTCAGAAAGCTAGTGAGTGTCTGAGGCAGGATTCGAACTCAGGTCCTCCTAACTTCAGGGCCAGTGCTCTATCCACTGCACCACCTAGCTGCCCCCCTCTCTGTTAGTTAATAGATTAATTCAGGAGCATATATAAATTCAATTGAATTTATGCATCCTGTTAAGAAATAGAAAATGTACATCTTTTAATAACTTTACCTCTTGATCTCTCTATTTTAAAGGAATGTTAAGAAAACATAATCATGGTGTTTGTGGCTAGGATTATTTCCTAAATAGAGAGATAATGGCTTAAGGAGTTCTCATGAAACTTCTGATCTGTTGATTTGGCTATGCCCCATTTGATATGGTTAAGAAATGTTCCCTTCAGATAAGAGAATAAATGACATTTGGAAACAGACTGAGCTCATATTTGAGATTTCTTCAGAATGCTCTCTCTGTATGGGGCAGAAATGGCCATAAATTAACCCTGTGAATAGGAAAGAAGATGATGAAAACACAAGTCAGTCATTAGTCAACAAGTATGGCTTCTGATTCAATCCACTTTTTGTAGGCCCAACATCCTTTTATATGTTGTGAACCAAACAAGTATTTGT